ATGTCAAATGTGAAAACTCTAAAATACTTTGAATTTCAAAGTCAAAGACTTTACATTTGAGTTCTTAACTACTACTTTTAATAATAAACTTTAAAAAGTTATTGCTATTCGGATAATCCAAACTAAACAGTATTCCTGCTTACGACAAGGTAAAAGTGCCTATTTACAAATTAAAAATATAAATATTCAACATGTCACTTTGAAGGTTTGGAATTGACTCCAGGTAAGAACATGAAAAAACTTTTAGGTGGATATTGTACGAGATATTTCTCGCCCTGTCTTTGACTATATGGTTCTTTCTATTTTGCACGAAGCCGAATTCACGAGGAATATCAAAAAAGTTCCTTTCGCTGACTTTACTTTACTTTATTTAAAGAATAGAAGAGCTGTCTATCATTTAGCGGCAGACTTTGCTCTATAGAGATGGAAAGAGAAGGTAAGGAAAAAGAGACCGAGTGTGAAATAAAGGGACATAGGGGAGTGTGAAAGAAGACATGGAGAAGGAGAGGTGGGGGAGAAGCGGGGATTGTTAGAGAGTATAAAGTTTAGAAAGGAAGGTAAATTTGCGATCATACAGACGACTTATACCGTATTTGTTTAGAATACAAATAGATATACAGAGCAGAGCGCCGTTTTAGCGGCCGATAATAACAATATACTTACTGATAGATATGGTACAGTACATGTTGATACACTGATGAAACAGATGTAGATATACAAACCAGACGAGTAGAGATGTACAACAAGAATCACGATGGGGGTCCGGTAAAATGGTATTGGACAAGCCAAACAAATAAACAACTTTAACCATTAACTAGACATAGAATACCCTACAGCTGTTAGACACAATTACAATAACACAGTCACAGGACGGCTAGAGCCACATGTGGTGGATTAGGGATAAACAACAGACCGGAGAGATTGAGAACACAGTAGAGGGCCCCTGCTAGGGGAGACGGGTGGGTGACCCGGTAAGTGCTACAGTTGTTCACAAAGTTTTTGAGATGGTTTAAAGCGCCAACGTTGCTGCATAGAAAGTCTAAGTTGGGGGCCAATTTTGCCAATTAATTAGGCAGAAGCCCATGAGTCCTTGGCGCTCATATCGTGGTGAGGACAGTCTAGGAGAGTGTGCAGGGCGTCCCCAATGACAGAGTCATTGCAATCACATTTGTCGTCTTCTCTTTTGCCAAACCGAGCGAGGTAGGCAAAAGACTATCGAATGGTCGAGGAGAAGTGTCCATTTAGTCTAGAGATCAGAACTGGAATTAGGGCAAGCAAACAGAATATTTTCTATGGGTTGTCTGATTCGGATACTTGGAGACAAATGCTTTACTAACTTTTCCTTCAATTGTGAGTTTTAACAAAAATAAAACTACTAGTTTACTGCTCACGCCAAAGAAATGAAATGAAAATAAAATAGCACCAAAATAAATAAAATTAGAGAGATCTAGAATCCAACGAATGCCGAATTCTAGCGGGCGAGTTACGGCTAATTATTAAAGAATTTATGCAACTAATTTGGCACAGGAGGGAGGCATCAGGCGAAATCCGTTAATAGCTTTAATAATTATAAGTTTTAATTAATTAACTAAATTCAGAACTACTGGAAGAACATCGCTCTAGTCTCGCTTTACAGTATACGGGTCTAGCGATGTTATTTATTACTGAGATCTTATGAAAACATCCATTTGATGATATCAAAGAATTTACTGTAAAAATTTTACGAAATATAGCATAAAGATTTAAACATAAAAACCAAAAAATTTTCCACCAGAAAAATGTGACGCTGAAGAAGAGCGGGTGAATAATGTGAAAAAATAAATAATAATAATATTAAAATAATTAATATAAATTAATGCGAACAATTTTAGCAATAGAAGTATTGACCAGAATGTAACAAACTCTTAAGCATTGAAATTCACTATATTATCAAAATGTAAACTGAACGCTATCATTTCACTGGCATTTCCTTTTACCTTCCGAAATTCGCTTTATTTTCAACAAGCAGGAAAAAACAGAATATAAGGTACTGGCCATCTGAAAAATGCAGAAATATCGTTATGAATAAAAATGTCAATCTCTGAATTATAATTCGTCATATTACTTATATAAAATCATCATTGTTGATTTTTTATATTTTTCTGTTATAATATCAGAATGTTTTATAATTGATTATAATAATTTTCTGTCAGGTTATTTTGCACTGTGAAAAATTACCTTTAAAGGAATTCTCCTGTCGACTGGATACACGTCACACAGCGACAATCTCATTGATAACTTCCCAAACCTTTTCATAAAATCGAGAATCTAACAAAAAAACAAACATCAATGTCCTTTCAGTAAATATTATGAATAATATTTCAAAATATAACGCTTACTTTTAATTTACTCTTCAATTCTACATAACATTGAGCAAAGACCCGAATTTCTTGAAAGGCATTCTGCATCTAGAAACAAAAACAAATATTATGCTTGACACAATAAGAAAGCAATAACAGAACTATTCTATGTAATTTTATTTACCGTAAATGCGAAACAGCACAAGAAGCAGCCGAGTATGATGCAAGCGAATGTGCAGATGACAACAAAAGCTATTACTGCATATCTGAGAATATTGGTCATTTCTACAAACAGAAATACGTAATAAAAGAAACAAGTTGTGTATATCGCTCCAAAATAAGTAATCGCCAATATAACATTTAATTTTCCGTTAAATTGTTGGACGAAAGTCCATAGTTCGTCATGATCTTTCATGAATTGATCCAATTTCAGTTTTATGTCGACGTTATTTTTCTTAATTAAAGAAAGTTCTTGAACGAGATTTTCAAACTCTACTTCAGCGATAAATAATAAAATTACCACCATCAGTAATCCATACAACATGCCTCCGATGAGAAAGTCAAGAGTTAATCCGATTTGGATGCAACAGAAAAGAGCTTCTCCTTCATATCTTTGTGATTTTCGTAAAGACGGATAATACAAGATCACGTTCAAAATTTGAAACCAAATTGAAGCGGTCAAAGTAAGCAAAGACACAAAGTTACAGATATTGTGCACTGAAATATTTTTTTTATCATCAATCATTCGTAGAAAAATTTTACTTTTTAAACATTCTATTAAAACAACTTTTTCGTATTTCAAAAAACTGAATAAAAAAGCGTATAAACCGAAGATAATCGGTATAGAAATTTTCACTACTCTACTTTTATCTTCAATTAAATCATACCATCCTATACAAATTGCATTATCACCCAAACCTGGAATTGCTTGCCAAAACAGCAGAGAGGTACTTCCCCATAAAATTATTTGTATAATTCCACAATATATAGTTTTGTATGGCATCCATTCCGAAATAGGATTGTTAGTTTTTTGGCAGTTACATGTTTTAAACGGTTGCAGTCCATAAATCAAAGCCATTCTTCTATAGGGCAGTAAGAAGCAACTTGTACAAATTGAACTCATGTTTAATATTTGTTTTTATCAATTATAAAATAATTTAATTATTCAACCTACGAAAGGAGAAACAACGATATTTAAGCGACATTATTAGAATTACAGTTTAACACAACAGTATAGAACAGGCATGGCCAATATACGACCCGCGGGCCATATCCGGCCCGTCTAACGAATTTATGTGGTCCGCGATCAATTTTTCAAAATACGTCGATGAAAAATTCTGATGCCTAAAAAAAAAGTCAACAACTCACCGTGCGTTTAGAGTTAACCCTCCATTACAAATCTCTTATTAAATATAGCATAGAGTGTTGATAAAGCATGATAATATGAGAAATGTATCTGTAATCTCTATCTACAATTCAGTCTCCACGGGATGACACTACAATGAGATCTCGCACCATCTCAAAATCTTTCTAGGACAGCCTTTGGTTCGTCCCGTGGAAAAAGTTTTCTTTCCAATCCGGCCGGGGGCAAAAACTGTTGGCCACCCCTGGAATAGAATATTTTGATTCCAACACACGCTATGCTATTACATTGTGTGTTTACTTAGTAATAACATTTGTAAACTATTGTTGATATTCGGTTTTGGTCACGTAGTGACCTCTCTCCTGTCTTCCTCGGATTGGTTGTCTTCTATAAGACCGCCTCTTCCTCACTGTTTCTTCCGGAATGAATAGCGACAAGCTGAGCACTCCTCTATCGGCAATGGAATGGAATGGAATGGAATGTTGATATTCGGTATATGGTATTTAAACTATGAAACAGTCTACAGAATAAACTTGTTCAATAAACAGGATTGTGGTTATCAGAAATATTCAATATTATAAAATATTTTGAAAAGAATTTGTCTTAAAATTAATATTTATCGATATCGCTTAATATTCTTTGGATATTCTTTTATTTAATCACGAACGTTTTATATATTTGTATCAAATGTAATCAAATGTATTAATAATTTTAATTCATTGGAAGAAATGTCTTTTACAGAAAAATAAAATAAAATTTTGTTGATTAGTAGTTATAACTATTTAGATCAGTGTTTCCCAAAGTGGGGCGTACGCCCCACAGGGGGGCAATTTGATGGTTAGAGGGGGGCAATTTGAGAATTGACATGACATAATTTCTTCCCTTCGCTATGAGCTTTTTTAATGCAACGCTTTAGGTGACAAATAATATGAAAAAGAAAATTTTCTAAATAGAGGACTTAAATTATTAATAAGCATTTTTAAGATGGTATCAAAACCTAAACTATGTTATTAGAGTCCGCAAGTGAACTTTTCAGCGTTTCCCTTTGCTGTATCTCTTGTCGCAGAAATCTTGTATCTTTTAAAGTCGCTAAGTAACAACGTTTTTGCACAATTTTTTTTCTAAAAAATTAACTCTAATATTTTTAACACCTATATGTCATAATTGTCTGTCATTTATATGATTAAATGAATTAATTAATACATGTTGTAGAAATATAATTTTTACGTATTGAATAATTTGTTTATTTTTTAACCATTTAGCTTTTTATATAAGTTTTTAAACTGTAAAACTATTGATAATATTTAAAAACTAATTAATTGTGCCTTTTTTGTTAGTTTAGATATCTCTAATAGCAGTGTCTTTGATAAAGGAGTCCAGAAGTATTAAAATCTTGCAATCTGGTCTGCTGGAATCTTCAGGGCTTGCGTTTATCCTAAGTATCACTTGCGGCAAAATGTGTCGCGGCAAAATTTTTTCTAAATTTACGTTTACTCTGTCACATTGAATTATTTTTACAAAATTTTATTATTTTTTTAGCCCATAAAAAATGAGTGGAACAACAAAAAAGAAAGTTCGTCAATATTCAGAGGAATATCTAAAATATGGATTTATACCAGCAGTTCACGATGAGAGGATGCCGTTTTGCTTGATATGCCAGCAATGTTTGACAAACGAATCTATGAAATTGGGTCGGCTTGAAGCACATTTGAAGGCCAAACACAAGGACTATATTAATTCAGATTTAAGTTTCTTCAAAACATTAAAGGAAAAGTTCGAGAAAAGGACGACAATTACTTCAATCTTCACGTCTAGAAATGTAACAAATAGTCGTATTCAAGAGGCTAGTTACCAAATTTCATTGTTAATTGCTAAATCAGGGAAAAGCCACACAATAGGGGAGAATCTTATAAAGCCCTCAATTTCTGCTTTTATGAAAACTGTTCTAGAAAAAGATGACGAGGATGTAAAAGCGATGCCTCTCAGTAACAATACTGTCAGCCGAAGGATCGACGAGATGGGCGAAGACATTGAGAAACAACTCGTATCGAAACTAAAAACCAGAAATTTCTCTGTGCAGATGGACGAGTCAACCCTAAGAGACAGTGAGGCCGTTCTTATCACTTATGTCAGGTATATTGAACGTGGACAGTTTGCAGAAGAAATGCTTTTTTGTAAACAATTAGAAAGCACTACCAAATCGAGAGACATTTACAACATATTCAAATGCTACTTGGATGACAATGAGATCCCCATGAAGAATGTTATTTCGTGTGCTGCCGATGGTGCCCCCAATATGATGGGCAAAAAAAATGGTTGTTTACAATTGATGAAAGCTGATAATCCAGAAATGATACTTATTCACTGTGTTATCCATAAAGAAAACTTGGTGGCTAAAAACGTGTCTCCTATTCTCAATGAAGTACTCAATGCAGTTATCAAATGCATTAACTCAATAAAAGCCAGCGCTAAAACCGAGCGCTTATTTAAGCTATTTTGTGAGGAACAAAATGAAGACCACGTACGATTGTTACTACACACTGAAGTAAGGTGGCTTTCAAAAGGGAATTGTTTGAAACGATTTATTGAGTTGTTCGATTCGCTTGAAAAGTTTTTAATTGATAAGCCTGAAATGAAATTATTGTTGACAACAAATGGCAAAGCATATGTAAGTTATTTAGCCGATATCTTTGAGAAGCTAAATTTGTTAAACAAGCAACTGCAAGGACCAAACAAAACACTGGTTGATGCCAAAGCAAAAATATTTGGTTTTATTAAGAATTTAGAATTAAATCAAAAACACGTCAGCAACAAAAATTTTGAACAGTTTCATTGGCTTAACAAGTGTGATGTTTCTGACTCCGCAATACTTGAAATTGTTAATCATTTAAAAATTTTAATTACGGATTTTAAAGAGAGATTTGCTGATTTAAAAGAAATGAATTTTCCGACATGGATGGTGCAACCAGTTTTGGTGGATTTAGCTGATATATCCAATCTGCAATATCAAGAAGAACTCGCGGAGTTGCAAAGTGACGAATCTGTAATAACTCTATTTAATATTAAAGGTGCGATGGCATGGCTTTGCGATGAAACAGAGGCTAAATACCCCAATACCACAAAATGTGCAAGAAAACTCTTATTACCGTTTCCATCTTCATATCTAGCTGAATGTGGCTTTAGTGCTGTGAGTGATTTGTTGATTAAAAAAAGAAATCGTCTGGATATAACACAACGTGGAGATTTGAGACTTAAGCTAACTAAGCTTGAACCAGATATAAAATCGCTGTGTAAAAAGCATCAAGTCCACAAATCACATTAAAGTAAGTTTTTAAAATCTATTATTTTTTTATTTATTAAAAGTTCGTTTCTTTGTTTTGACAACAGTTGTAAGAAATCGCTTTAAAATTATCATTCATATTACTAAAAAAAACAAAAATAAATTTTATAACTAAAATTATCTATGGGGGGACATGATGATTTTAGAAATGTTAAAGTGGGGCATGGCCTAAAAAAGTTTGGGAAACACTGATTTAGATCATTTAATTTTGAAAACAATTTTAATGTTTTTTTGTTTTTGTTCAATGGATTTTAATTTGTTTTCTTGCTATAAAAACAACCCAATGTAACTTATGTTTTCGAGAAATCTCTTATTTGTTGCCAATATTTATCACAATATTCTGAAAAATACTGATATTTCTTTTATAATTAGATATTCTGGTAAGCTGTATACTAAACTAAGAGTAATTATTATAATAAAATATGCCTTTTCTTCTTCGTTTTCGAGAAATCACCGAACGTGTTTCTCTGTTGTGCTTGCTTAGTGACGTTACTACGTTTCTAATAGAAAATTTTCTTAAAGTTTACTCTTTTGATAGATCTCTTGTATATTTATTTATCCATTCGTTCATTTTTTCCGTTGCTTGCCTTAGCAGTCACCTTTAGTCTTAACACTTACAATAATTTATACAGAAATGAGCTTTCACTGTAATAAAATTAGTTTGTTTATAAGATATAAAGTGGAAGTTATGGAAAATAAGAAGCGTGATTGAAAACAAAATGTCTATATCCCAAGGAACATATACTACTCATATATTTCTCAGTTACAAGATCAAAAGTAAAAATAAAAATAAAAGATTGTGTATATATATATATGTTAAATCTGAAAGTATAAATTTTCTAATATTTTCATTGCGCTAATCGATGAAAATATTCCAATTTGTAAATTGTGAATTACTGAAATTCATATTCACACTCAAATTGTCTAGCTACATGATGTCTGTTTACAAATAATGTGTGCATCAATAGCTAAAGTAACCATTTAACGTAATTGAAAACAATGTTTCGAACAATTCTCGTAGATTGGATTTACTTTTTCGAGACATTTGCAGTTTGATGTATGTACAGTTTCTCTGTTCTCAATATCTAACCGTAACTATGCAAGATATATCAATTTTTAATGTTAAATAATAAAACATTAACTTCATTTACAAAAATTCCCAGGAAATAATTAAGTGTTAGAAGTTTTTTCATTCAGTTTTAAAAGAAATTTTAAATCATCATTAGCACCATCATCGTCGTCAATGAATATCTTTGTTCTATTTATGAACACATTCTGAGAAGTGTTGAAAAACAAGCATAAATTTTCAAAGTCCATATTTATTATTTTATCAGTCAAAATTTAAATTATCACATTTTTAAGACAAGTCTAATTTCAGAGTAATGAAATTGCGTGCAGTTAAAACAGAACTTTACGTCCTGTAGCAATTGTTTACAACGAGAAATATCTTGTAATTTTAAATAAATGCATTTATGTATGTTGTATGCAAGTCATAACATTTTTCCTCGTAGAGAAAATGGCATTTAATTTCAATAATTTTATGTACTTTGTGTTTGTATAACTTGGACTACAATCATAAATATGATCGAAAGCAAGCATCCTGTTATGTATTAACTTTGTGAATGTCACCATAGAAACCATTTCGATAAGTAAAACCATCGGATAATTTAATAATACAATAAAAATTATTTTTCCATAAATTAAACTGCATTAAATTACGACCGGATACGTGTAAAAACAATTTGAACTATTACTATTATTACTTTTATTTTATATTCGACATTTTTTGAGTTCATATTTCTATTCGCGATTTTAAAGCTTATATAGGAGATCAACTTTATATTATACGTTGTGCTGTTAAGTCACTCCATCAGTAAGACATGATAGGTTCACTGTAGAATCCATTCCTTAAGATAATTAACCACTTGAACACTGGTGTGCGTTACCAGTAAGTATTTCAATATTGTTTATACTATTCGTTCAGATATAGGCTTCATCGATGCAATCCATTCTCATTTTAGACTATCTGATCTAGTTTTATTAATTTTTTGTTTTAACTGACCCATACTCCTCTTCCAGTTTTCTAAGGTTGCTTTTTGCAACGTTAAAACATTTCCGTTGACGTGATTTGGTAAGGGGGCGGGAAAGCTATGTTCTATACTTGATAGAATAGATAGCATTATTTATACTGAGATACTTGACTACTTTTTTACTTTTTAATTGTTTTATTATCTGTTATGACGGTTTAACATTACTAACACAGACAGGAGTTTAACGAATGTTTCAAAATATGTGAAACTTGCGATACACATGGTATGCTGAGTGCCAAAAGAAGAGCATTATCGATTTGCTGGCCTCCGTTGTCGGCAACATACTGAAATCGCTAAATCGCACCGTTCAAAGATAGTACTTAAAGTTTAGCAGGTCTATCTGTCGAGTAAGTCAGCCTTACAACACCGGGTATTGCGTGTTCGTAAATTTTGAGATTTTTTCAGTTATTCACTATTGTGTCGCAACGCCTTTTACGCAATATAACACATGGCAAATGAGAGTACTTTCAGAGAAGAGTTTCAATGATAATCTGGCGATATTTAGGTGTTAAACACGAAGAAAACTTTTGAGTTATTCACTGGACATTTTTATAATCAACTTTTTTGCTTCAAAAAAAAATTCCATTACCACAGAAGTGTTCGTGTAAAATATAACATAATTCTGCAGATTAGTGTTACCGAGTTATGGCTTTTAAAAATGTGAATTTTCCATTAATATATCCAGTTAATGTATGGAAGAAGTTTTTCGCCTTTTTTACTGAAAAAATGCAAATAAATGAGAAATCAAATCAAGTTTTTTTGTATTTATTCTGAAAAAATAAAAATAAACTAATAATTAAAACGTTTGTATAATTGAGTATACTATACAGTATACTAAAAGTAAATATAATATACAGCATTTACAAAGTATCAGTGGAAGTGGATCTATATTATCAACAATTCATCTGACCCAAATCTCATATGTATATAAAAAGGTGGTAACGTTATTGCTGAAAAGTTCTAGTATGTTTTATTTGTTTTTATTCCTAAATAACTGGTACCGTTACTTTTAAGTCTTCAGATATACAGAACATAAATTTACTAATACAAGTGAAGACTGGTGAAGGATGCAAGTCATTAAACTAATTAAACAATATTATCACTTTTCATCTTCTTTGCTCATACACTTAAAGATTTATTTCTCTCAGGGGAGTTGAAACATCGTGAAATTCAAAACAATGTTGGAGCGTTTTTACTTTAGGTATGGATGTCACTATGTGAATGTACAGGGATTCCTCGTTAATTCGAACTCGGATAGTTGAAAATTCCTCTAGTTTTAACTGTACCTTTGACCTGGCCGGGTATATAGAAATTTACGTGTTATGGAATTCGATTAGTTTGAATTAAGGCCACTTCGAAATTCGAAATGAAAATTCAAATGCAAAGCTCACAGACAGTATGAAAGATGCTGCACTAACTCTGTGCCACGCTTACTACTCAGATGCTATGCCTTCAGTTTTAAATACTTAGCAAAAACTAGCCCATTTCTGCAACATAAGTTTGCAGAGTCTGTGTTAACTAATACCACTTCTGTTACATGGTGGCAGTCACTACGTGACAGAATTGATGAACCTGTTTTAAAATTACTTACACAGCTGCACACAGCAGTGACTTCTTCAGTGGGAATTGAGAGAATTTTCTCTACCTATGAATTTGTTCATTCAAAACTTAGAATTCGACTTGGACAGGAAAAGGCAGAAAAGCTTGTTAAAGTTTTCAAGCACCTAAACAAACACTACTGACCATTGTACTGTACATTTCTGAAAATAAGAAAGTCTTCAAGCTGCAAAAGCCACTGCTGTCAATCCTGTTTTGGTGTTTGTATACATGCAAATCTTAAACATGCCATTGCATAAAGAAACATTTTAAAATGCTATATTTTATATTAAATGAAACATTCTGTACATTCTTGAGTCTTACACTGAAGTTTTTCTGTTTTGTTTTTTATTTTTCTATTTTACAAGATCAAGTGTTTTATTTCCAAAAAAACCATGTTTTAAATGTTTTAAAACATTTGTTTTAAAGAAATGTTTTAAATCTGATGCTTATGTTTTAAAACATATTTCAATAAATGTTTTAAAACATTTTTTAAAATCATGCCAATCCTGGTTTTGAGTAATACTTTTTCTCAACTTTCAAAATAATTTGGGCTACACGTTATGTAGCCCCAATTATTTTGTAAGCCTACTGTATTATAAATTATTATGTAGCCTACTATATTACCTGGCAACCTGTGAGGTTCTCACAGGACACGTCCTGTTTACCTATAATTTATTTAAATTACAGTATTAATGATTATCAAGTTACCGTATTCCGTTCGCATAATAAATTACATCAGTTACGTGGCATTTAGTATATTATACGGAAGTATGTAAATCTCGGATAATTCGATATTTGGTAATTCGAAGTCGCGATTATTCCGTCTCTTGAATTTCGACTAACGGGGATTTCCTGTATATATGAATATGTGTGAGTGTGTGGGGCGCAATGTTGTTCATATTTAGGATTAATGACACCTGTGCCTTTTGTGGAAAACTTTTGTAAATTACGCACGTTTAAATTTTGGTGATTAATTTAAAATCAAGGGGTGAAGAGATAGAGGTCATGTGTTATGCCACTCGATGCGGAAGTTTTAAATAATTGTTGAACGGTTATTCTGACAATTTCTGCAATATTTTTTTTTAAACTAAATCAAACTTGTATGTTTTTTTTGCGAAAGTTGTTACTGCGAAGAAATCGCCAGGAACACTTCTTTGATGGAAGAAATAGGTTTATTTTCTATAATTTAAAACGAATATGCATTTCGAGCGTAAAGCTAGAAATGAATATCCGTTTTAAACTATAGAAAATATTACATGAAATAAAAATGAAACACGTTTTACCTAAATTACTCTCTCCTGTTATTCAGAAAAGTTCAGCATTTCGTTACTACTTTACGAAGTTGCAAATTTTATTCAAACGTAGTACTGATGTTGATATTCAAGCTGCTTGTTCCAT